ACTGGAGCCAGACCCTGCAAGTCGGTACCAAGTGGCTGGGAACACACTGTGGTCAAGCCAAGCTCAGGAACAATGCCTAGATGGAGTTTTATTTGGGTTCAGCAGGAGCTAGGCAGTATTCCAGGGAAAAGGCAGCCCAGGAGCCAGATGAGTAGGAAATGGACAAAACCCACCGCCATTGAGTCCATTCTGACTCACAGTGGCCGTTTAGTTTCTGAAGCTGTGTCTCTTTCCCAAAGTAGACACCTCAACTTTCGCCCAGGGAGCCGCGGGTGGGTTTGAACTGCCCAACACTTTGCATGGCAGGGCGACCAGGGCCCCAGGAAGAGACTGACAAGGAGGGAAAACAAGGACGTGTGGTCAACATGCTCTATCGTCTCGTCTCTAGAGCCTAAAGGACCAGGGGTGTTTTGGAGGGGCAATGACCTTGAAGATGGCACAGACTACGTTTCACTCTGTCATCCGCAAGGCCAGCACGAGTTGGAGCTGACACAATGGAACTAACAGCAGCAGGAGCAGCACTGTTAGCAATAGTTTAAACTGCAGCCGCTTACAAATAATATCTATTCTTTGGAGTTAATGTGTTGAAAACGTCAGCTGAATGATCCAACCACCAGTTGTGCTGCAAGACCCGTACGAGTGCCTGAGCTCCGGAGCCCTGACCACAGTGGGTCACACTGTCCTTCCTCACCAGCTGCTGTGTCTGTCAGGGTGGCAGGTTCTCGCGGCTGACTTGAACTGCCTGTGCTATTTCTGTGCCTAGGATGTGAGTATAAGCCATGGTCAATCAAACCAGGATATGAGTCAGGTTAAACAGAACTATAAAGAGTTAAAAATGAACCAAGCTTCAAAGCATACTAAAAATATCCCAGCATGCTCCACCATGATTGCCAGACCTACAGCTCGAAGGAATCACCACACTCAGGGGAGCAGAAAGACATGGGTGATAGAACTGGCCAATGCACTTCCAGCCTGGAAGGGTTTACAGCACCGTTAGGATACCCGGAGGACCCCAAGGTCATTTTTTGGTCACCTCTGCTGAGGATACTTCCAACTGTGACGATTTATGTGAAGTGGCATGAAGAGCAGATGACAGTGTGTAGCGGAATTAAGAGGCCATAACTACAACTCTGGCAAGTTTCTTGGTTGAAATGGCAGAACGTGCGATTCTATCACCACCTGGCTGTTTCTCAGGGGTGGGGCTGGGCTTTTAGCGCTGGACCCCAGGGCTCCCCAATGATGCTTTGGGTGCCCAGGCAATGGGTGGAATATAGCAGGGCGCAGAAACCCTCTGCTGACCCCAGAGAGTGCCTCAGGCAGTGGGGTGGGTGGGAGTAGGGCCGGTCACTGACCTCGGCTGATGCGCTGCTTCTCTCCGGACAGGATGCCAGGGCTGTCGATGATGCTGATGCTCTTCAGGACTTGGTTGGGCAGCTGGGAGCACATGAACCTGAAAGACAGGGACCAGAGGGGGGATCAGACATGTGTACACTGCAGGCACTCTCACTGTAGAGGCCCCGTCTCTCTGGCCTTGCAGGCATCATGTGTCACAGGGCTTGGCTGTGACTGACACAGGGAGCAGAGGCTGATGCCCGCAGCCAGGTCCCTCTCTGTGAATTTTGGTTTAACTTTCGTGTGTTAAAGGAAGCCTGGTTAAGCAGGCTGTCTACCCCTGTAAGCAGTTACACTTTCGGGCAATTCCGCTCTGTCCTGCTGGGTCGCTAATAGTCAGAATTGTCTCGCTGGCAGAGTGTTTGGCTTTTTGGTCTGGCTACGTTGTACTCAACTCAACAGCTCACAACTGACGTCGAACTTGGGTTCGTGCTCGGCTGCTAAGCACAAAGTCTGCGGTTTGAGCCCTCTAGAGGCTCCGTGGGAGAAAAGATTCCAGCCTAGGAAACCCTGTGGGCAGTTTGAATCTGCTCAACCGGCCGCCACACCAGGCATGTATTAAGTACTTTCTTCGGTACTTTACAAACATCATCTCATTTGAGCTTCAGCTTCTCTTCGGAACACACAGCTGCTCAGAGACTCGGAGCCACGACTTGTTGCTAGGTTGGCTCTAATTCATCTGTTCTTTCCCCCAAACAGCTGGGGCTGCGGCTCCTAGGGACGCCATGCCTCTTCTTCTAGGGTATCCTGTCCAATGGGCTTAAGTACCCCACATTTCTTCCTTGTCCTGGGCCTGCCCACTCCAGGAGCGACAGGTACTTGGGCCTGTAGTCCCTGTCTAATGCCCCAAGGATGCAGCATCTGGCCCATTGCCTGCTATGGCTTCCTGCCCAGGGTGGGGCAGGTACCCGTGGTCAACACCCCAAATCCTCGAGGTACCCAGGGGCTTGGGGAGCGTCCTCAGACTAGGTTAGGGGCCAGGGCTTGGGGAATACTCTGGAGAGCAATGCAGAGACCATCCTTTCTCCTGCCCGGTCCATCCTTTCTCCTTGCTCTGACCCTGACCCCCTCAGCTGTCACTCTGTCAGCTGCTCCACCGGCAAAAGGGGAGAAGGGGAGGACACTGCTGGCCTTGGGGGTCAGCAACAAGGGCTTCCTCCCTCTGGCCCCCAGCCCCTTGTGTGCAGAGCAAGGCATTTGGGCTCAGATAAGTGGCCTTCCTTCTCAGCTTCGGCCTCAGGGAGCTCTGTGACTACCAGAGGCAAACCCGGCTCCATCCAGCCCAGGCTGCAGAGCCTGCGTGATCTTTGTACGAGGCTTGCAGAGGGCCGTCTAGGGGCCTCTGCTGCCCTGTACTGCCCTTACATCTGGGTGGGCGATGCCGAAGCATCAGTCCTTCCACCCGGTGGGCCAGAAGGGAGGGGGCTTGCTCAGGAAGGAAGCATGCTGGGCATGCTGACGCGCAGTCCCTGACATTTCAAAATAGCTTCCTGTGAAGGTGCTCAGGACACATTTCCCCAAGAGTCCTTTCCGTGTTTTCAGGAAGTTGTAAAAAGTACACCGTGATCATTTTGTGGCTGGCAAAGAAGAGGCAAGGAGCAGCGACGGTGTCTTCAGGTCTCACGGCGCAGGCACGGCTGACTGCGGATGTCAACTTAGGGCACCGAGTGTCCGTGGGGGGCCAAATGCAGCCCTCCCAGTTAAAAACCTCATGACGTGCAGAACACACGGCCGGGTTCGTGGACCGGGGGGTGGGGGGGACCCTCGTCTGCATATTCTCCTGCCCTTTCTGCACCTCCAACCTAGGGGCAAAGGCCACTGTCCAATGGGGGCTGCTTTGCTAGAAAGATGGCACAGGTCAATCAAGTAAGCAGTCCAGATAAACTCAGGGAGGAAGGTGCCCCAGCCAGGTCCTCTAGGCCGGGCAGGCACAGCTGTGGCCAGGTCTCCCCAAGTGGCACCACGTGAGGGTATCTGTAGCCATCTCTGACTGTGGATAGAGGCCGATCTTCCTTCCATCACATGTCTGCACCCGATGTCAAGTTTTCTAAAACATAGTGTGCCCGGTTCCTAGTGCAAGGCTCACAGAGGGCTTTGAGATATATAATCTCGTCTCTCCCTCCGTGCAAAGTATATAATCTCGTCTCTCCCTCCGTGCAAAGCAACAAGCTTTCACTACCTCCCTGCCGCCCCCCACGTCCACCCCCACCTCCTGCCCAGCGCTGGAGGCAGAACATGGGGGCCACAACCAGATGCAGCCAGATGTAGAAACGACGTCATCCCCCAAGTATTCCAGGGCCCACAAAGAACCAGTACAAAGAGGAGAAGGAAGGAGGCCGGCAAGCAGCTGCTTGTGCACAGTTCCTCCCGACAAGAGAGAGCTGCGCCCAGGGCACCAGGGAGCGCTCAGACACCTTTGGGTGGGAGTCGGGGTGGGACAGACACAGAGCCCATGTGCAGAGGGTGAGAACCACAGATCAACATTCAGAAAACCAAACCCGAACACGGTCACAGCGATTTGGCCTTGTTCTTGCGCTTTGAGAAAGCAGGGCTCCTTCTCCTGCACGTGGCTGCTGGCCTCCGCCTGGCCTTCCCAGCGCTTCTGCGGAAGTGTGTCCAGGCACAGATGTGCCGCCCCAGCTGGAGTTCCTACTCCGCCCCGGGACGCTGGACCCAACGGGGGCTCCCCGTGCCCTCTACACTTCTCACTGAACACACAGACCCATGCTAGTCAACCCCAGAGGCGCTCCTCACGGGGGGTTTTATCAGTAAGTGCTGCGGAGCGGAGCGCTTTAGTTTTGACAGTGGTGAGTTTGCCAGACTGCTTCTCAGCGTCGGCTTTTAGGAAGTGTCCCTCACCACAGGCTGATGGAAACGCTTGCTTGTTTTCTGGAGTCAACAGGGGCCAAGACTGTATGCCAAACCCCCCACCCCACCCCACCCCTGCCCCTCTACCTTCAGGGCAGGATTCAGAGCAGCAGAAAGGGGAGCACAGAGGCATGGCTGGGTGGCAGGGCCATGCAGGGAAGGTGTGAGGAGTCTGCAGCAGAGAAACAGGGGTGAGAAGAAGAGATGACTCAAAACTCCCCCAAGGGTCAAAGTGCTCCTTCAACGATCACAATGAAGGAGACAGGCTTTCAAAAGAAGCAGGTGGTCTCTGCATGGTGACTTTATAACTTCCAAACAATGCAGCTCTCTTGGTCTTGACAGCAGGAATGTAATAACCTGGATGCTTACTGAGCATGTAGGACGTGCCAGACAGGTCTACACTCCTTGCATATGTATGAACTAACTGAATGCTCACCACCACCTTCTTAGAGAAGAACCTGGTGGCATAGTGGTGATGTGTTGAGCTGCGATCTGCCTGGCCGGCAGTTCAAAACCCCAGCAGCTCCCCTGGGAGAAAGACTGGTCCTTCTATTCCACTCCACAATGACAGCCTGGGAAAGCCCTGGGGGTGGCTGAGTTGGCCGCGCCTGGGCAGCAGGCAGTAGAGCAGAGTAGCACCACCTGAGACACGGGGGCTGTGAGTCACCAATTTATAAGGGAGGAGATTGGGGCACAAGAGGTCAGAGACCATCACCTGCGAAGTCACCTGGCCAGTAGCCGTGGAGCCAGGATCCTAACCTGGCCACTCTGGCTGCAGGTTCTAACCTACAAGCTATGACGACGGCTTCCTGCCTTTGCAACTGACGGTGTACCTTCAGTTGACTCAGAGGGCAACGTCCTAAAACAAATTAAGGTGGGGCGAGCCACAGCCCTGGGTGCGTCTCCTCCTGCCCCTCCCCACCAAGTTGGCGTGGAGCCCACCACGTGTGTCTGGGTAGACTTGTGCTCTACAAGGTTCCCAGGGGCTGACTTTTCAGAAGGAGATCACCGGGCCTGTCTTCTGTGGTCTCTGGAGGTGGACTCGAACCTCTATCGCAGCGGTTCTCAACCTGTGGGTTGCGACCCTTGGGGTGGGGGGGTAGCGAACAACCTTTTCACCGGGGTCACCTGTTTCAAAGCAGTAGCAAACGTACAGTGATGAAGTAGCAACGAAAATAATTTTATGGTTGGAGGGTCACCGCAACATGAGGAACTGTATGAAAAGGGTCTTGGCATTAGGAAGGTGGAGCCCCTCAGCTCGTGACCAGATGTTGAGGGCCAAGAAGTGAACACAGGCTGAAGCTCTGGGCGCTGGGCCCCCCACTTGCTCACCACCCTGGGATGTGAGGCCGCTGAGCCTCTCTGAGGACTCCCAGGTCTGCCAGTCCCAGATTCTGACTCAAAGTGACCCCACCTGCCCTGCGTGAACAGCACTGCCCCAGAGGGTTTCCTGGGCTGTGACCCTTAGTCAGTGTCGCCAGAACCTGCAGAAACAGTTGAGTTACACCTACTGACTTAGCAGCTGAGTGCTGCCCCGCTGCATTTCTGAGGCTAGTCATTGGGGTCCTGGAACCCTGAGGGCACAGTGGTGAGGGTCCCGAGGTGTCTTGAAGCACTTGCTACGACCTGAGTGACTTCATGGATGGGAAGAGTGTGACCAGAGAGAGGACACAGCTTCCTGAGTTTGCACAGTCAACAGGGCACAGTGCCCACAAAGACAACTCCACTGTGCAGCAAACCAAGGCAGGACACTTTGTATTACACAGCCCTACCCAGAAAGTTCAGGCGAGTCCTTGGCTGCCAAGGAGGCATTTTGTTCCTGTCAAGGCTAGAAATAAAGGCCCAGGGCTGAAGTTTAGGCCGAGCCTCAGGAGATGACCATTTAGCACATAACTCCAGTTCAGCCACCTCATGGAGTTCAATCCACACGGTGTCTCCTGGGGTCAGCAGTGCAGCTGGTCTGGGGCAGAAGGCTGGCTTTGGGATGGTTAAGAACAATGGTCTGTCCTCTGGGAACTGCCACCCACAGGAGTTAAAGAGTAACAGGAAAAGCTTCATCAAGCTTATTGTGGATAATAATAAGCCATTAAAAAAAACAATTAGCCCCTCATTAAAAACAAAAACCAACAACCGTTTTGCTGGTAAATCAAGAACAAATCTTGGCAAGAGCCTTGGTCTGCACAGCATGGT